TTGATTCTGTGGGTTTCACCAGCCTGGTACTGACCCCTTTTGTTCTTCATTCCTCCCTCTCTGCAACTGGGCTCCAGAGTTCAGGTCAGTGTGTATCTGTGGGTGTCTGCCTCTGCTTCCATCAGCCCCTGGATGAGGACTCTAGGATGCCATAAAAAGTAGTCATCAGTCTCATTATAGGGGAAGGGCATTTAGGTTATCTTCTCCACCATTGCCTAGATTGTCAGTTTGTGTCACCCTTGTAGATCTCTGGAAATCTCACTAGATCTCTCCTCAGACTTTTAATGGCTCCCTCTGATATGGTATCTCTCATCCTGCTCTCCTTTATTCTTCCCCCAACTCAACATTTCTGCTCCTCCATTTCCTCCTCTCCCCTCCTCTTTTCCTCCTCTCATTCTGGCAGCTCCCTCTCCCCTACCCTCATGCTCCCAATTAGCTTAGGGGTTCATGCCCCTCCATGCATTTTTCCCTTAGAGTCTTTCTTGTTTCCTAGTTTCTTTGGTGAAGAAGATTGTAGGCTGGTAATCTTTTGCTCTATGTCTAAAATTCATATATGAGTGAGTACATACCATGTTTGTCTTTTTGTGACTGGGTTACCTCACTCAGGATGGTTTCTTCTAGTTCCATCCATTTGCCTGTGAATTTCAAGATTCCATTGCTTTTTCTGCTGAGTAGTACTCCATTGTATAAATGTACCATATTTTCTCTATCCATTCTTCAGTTGAGGGGCATCTATGTTGCTTCCAGGTTCTGGCTATTACAAACAATGCTGCTATGAACATGGTTGAACATGGTCCCTGTTGTATGGACATGCATTATTTGGGTATATGCCCAAGAGAGGAATTGCGGTATCTTGGGGTAGACTGATTCCCATTTTTCTGAGCAACGGCCATACTGATTTCCAGAGTGGTCTTACAAGTTTGCATTCCCACCAGCAATGGAGGAGTGTTCCTTTTTCTCCATATCCTCTCTAGCATAGATTGTCATTGGGGTTTTTGATTTTAACCATTTTGGTCAGTGTAAGATGGTATCTCAGAGTTGCATTTTTCAGTGAAACTTTATTGGAGACTATTGTTTAAAATAATTCAATGAATGGGTATTGGTAACTATAGGATAATTTATTCTTTTCAAGATTAATTAACAAATTGGATAGCTTGTTGCCATTCCTTAATTTGCAAAGCATGAAATGTACGGAATCTGAAGAAGAGGAGGTCACCAAAGGAAAGGAAAATCAACTTCAGCTTAGTTGTTTCATCAACCAAGAAGTTAAATATCTTTTCACAGGGCTTAAATTGGTAAGGAAACCATGGCTGAGCGTCATGTGGGTTCTGTATTTGTGAATATGCTTGTTGGTAAAAGTTTATTAACTCAAAGGTGCTCCTTGCTGTGCTTTGCTGGTTATTTGCAGAGGAGTTGTGCATGCACAGATTGTGGGGTTTTGTGGTATGTGTGAGGAGTTCAGAGGGCAATCTTGAGGTGTGTTCCTCTGAAGGTGGGGTTTAAGTGAGTCCACAAGACCCAAGATAACATGCATTAGGATTGATCTGAGTGTGAGTTAGGGTGCTATTGGTTATAAGTTAAGCACTGTAAGTGAAATAAGATGTCTTTAAATGGTTTCCACATAAGGTTATCTGTTAATGGAAAGGTGACTAGAAGTTTGCAAGAACCTACCCAGTGTTTCTCCTAATTCAGTGCTCATGGTGCCATCAATAAAACATAGCTAGTCTGAGTACCAAAAATTAACTGTGTAGTTGAAAGTCACATTTGAATTGGTCTTTTAACTAATAAAGCATTATTAACATAGTTTCATAGATTACTGAATACAAGTTATCATAAAAATGAAATGTGAATGTTAATTGGAGTTAGAATGGAATGCCCTGACAAGGGACTCTGCAGGTAGTTTTCTTAATTTTGTAAAACTTTAAGAAAACTATACTTCAGAGTCCTAGATGCAACTTGATAACATTGCATTATGTTACGTATAACTTGCTGGTGAATACTTCAACACAGATGTGTATGTACATGTGTATACACTGTGTAGTTGGGGAACACTGTCTACCAGCACACTGACTTCCAGCTATACTTTCTTGAAAAAAAAAATTGCTGAATTGGGTGGGCTTCTTCTTCTTTTTCTTTTATAATTTTAAAGATTGTGTTTGGAGTTTTTTGGTTTTTTTTTTTTTTTTGAGAAACAGTTTCTCTGTGTATCCCTTGAATTTTCTCTGAGGAGCAGGCTGGCCTTGAACTCAGAGATCCACCTGCTTCTGTTTCCTAATTGCTAGGAATAAAGACATGTGCCACCACCACTCAGCTATTTGTATGGGTTTTCTGAAGACATTTTACTTCATTTTTCACCTTTGCATGCTTTGTTTTAAAGCAGTGATTCATTTTATAATGTGATTGGTAATTTTTAAAAAATCAGAGTTACACAATTGTACGATACTGTAACTATAAGCCGTAAGTTCTTTTAGTTCATGTTTAGTTTTGCATATATATACATATATATTTATATATATGTGTGTGTATATATATATGCATGTAGATATATATTGGTAATAATAGAATATTTATTACATGTCGACTATATGCTAGACTGTGTCCCAAGTTTTAAGCCTGCCCTAACTTGTGTCATTTTTAAATTACTCTGAAATGGAGACTTTAACAAATGTGACCAGAGGAGATAAATTGTAGCTAAAGACTTCTTCTCATCCCTTTGACCAGTGGTTCTCAACCTTCCTAATGCTGTGACCCTTTAATACAGTTCTTCATGTTGTGGTGATCCCCAGCTAAAAATTAGTATTTGTAGCTACTCTGTAACTAATTTTGCTACTGTTTTGAATCATAGTGTAAATAGTGATGTGCAGGATATCTGATGTCTGATCTGTGTGAAAGGGTCAGTTGACATCCCCAAAGAGGTTGCAACCCACAGGTTGAGAACCACTGCCTCTGATTAACAAGTTTTCTTTGTTAATTCTTCTCAGATTTAAAATTAACCTAATTGATGTTGGCAGGCTTTTATATATAATGATGAAGAATAGGGGTTTTCCTACATTCTCTTTATTTCTAGTATGAGTATTCTGATTATTCAATGTTACAGGGTGACAGGAAGCTTTAGTATTAATAAAATAACAATAACAATATCCTTTCTTTGACTTTGAGCAACATTGTATCTGAGGCTTTTGTGTGTGTGTGTGTGTGTGTGTGTGTGTGTGTGTGTGTGTGTGTGTGTCTGTTTTAGTTTGTTGTTTTTCAAGACAGGGTTTCTCTGTTTAATAACTCTGGCTTGCCTTGAAGTCACAGAGATCTGCCTGCCTTTGCCTCCTGAGTTTTGGGATTAAAGTGTCGGTCACCACCACCTGGTAGGAAGAATTCTTAATAGTATATATGATTTCTTATAAATACTGAGTAAAGTCTTAAAAAAATACCTTTCCATGTCATGTTTATTCTGATTTTCACTGGGAGAAATTCACTGATATATTATTAATTAAATAGTGCTGCTTTTAAAAATTAGACTGTCATTTTGTTTTGCAGAAAATAGTTGTAAAATCTGATGTTTGGTTGTCTATAATGTCCCTTTTTAGCGACTTCAGGAAGAAATTACTAAACAGTCTCCAACATTGCAGAGAAATGCTTTGTACATCAAATCTGTAAGTTATATATTTCCTTTTGAAATTGAATTCCATTTTATTGAAAGGGTTTGGGGCAGGGAGGTGGCTCAGCAGGCAAACTGTTGTCAAAGCTGGGTAGGCATGGCTTCCTGCTTTTAATCCCAGGGTGCTGCAGGTGGAGCTGGCTCGTTGGACTAGTCAGAACAGTGAATTCTGAGTTCACACAAGATAGAAAAGGTGAGGAGTGATTGAGAAAGACACCTGCTGTCAATCTTAGCATGCACATTCACACATTTGCACTAGCACACATACATGTGCCCATGTGCCTACACACTTATAAACATGCATGAAAGTACACATGCAGATACTCATCCCCACTATGCACATGCAGAGAAGAGAAAGGGTTCCAGTTAACTTAAAAAAAAAAAAAAACTAAAAAACTTGTTTGACCTTAGATATAAAATATTTCTTCCCATTTCTCTTTTTAGTCTAAGATCAGCCGGCTACCTGCTTACTTAACTATTCAGATGGTTCGATTTTTTTATAAAGAGAAAGAATCTGTGAATGCCAAAGTTCTCAAGGTCAGTAATGAATTTTAATGTATGTATGTTAAATATAATCCTTTGAAGGCAATTCCTAATCTATCATAGATTTGTTATCCTACTAAGAATAGAGTTCAGCTGGCAGTGGTGGCACACACTTTTAATCCCTTTAAGCACTTAGGAGGCAAAGACAGGAAGGTCTCTGAGTTCATGGCTAGTCTGCTCTACAGAGTGAGTTCCAGAACAGTCAGAACTACACAGAGAAACCCTGTCTTGAAAAAACAACAACTAAAAACAAAGAATAGCTTTGAGATAGTTTGGGGTGAATAATATTAGACAGGTGATCCTTAGCCCACAGTGTTTATTGGAATTATGTATTATCCCTTTTGTTTTACACATGCCTGGCTTCTTCCTCCAGCCTCAAACATCTAAGTCTCAGAGTCAGCATTTTATATTTTTCAAAGGATTTTACAGATAATTGTATTATTTCTTGTATACCCCAGAAATACTGCCTTAAATTAGATCCTTCACTTCATAGATCAGATTTGAGGAGATTTGTTGGAAATGAGGACAGAGGTAGTAAGCACACTGCATTGCATTGAAGCACTGCAGAGCTTAAGTAGTGATCCCTTGAACTGTGTTGAATTGGGTGGTCTGTAGTATAGACTTCCCTTGGGAAGAGTTATATGAATGAATCTAGCCTCTGGAGCTGAAATTCATAATATTTTCTGATAGAGTTGTATGTGGAGTTTAAATGTAGCTTGGGTCTCTACTAGTTCTAACATGAATAATAAAAACTCAGGGGCCGATACTGGGGTTCAAGCTGAAGATCAGAGAAGCGAAGTAGCGGAGCCAGTACCTCTTACCTCTACCAAGCTGAAATGGCTATCCTGTCTCCTTCTGCCTTCTAGTCAGTCCTTTCTCACTCCAGCCATTTCACTCCTGTCTCTACCTCCCTAGTGCCTCAGACACCCCA